GAAAAAAGTTGCGCTAAGTACTAGCATGTATACACTCATTGCTCCTGCTGCTGTAACTTCCCTGACATGATGGACTGTAACCTGGAGCTGTGAACTTTAGAAGTGATGTGACCATCTCCTTCAAGTTCCTGCCACCTTGACGTCTTCAGAATGAACTATATAACCTAGAATCATAAGCCAAATAAACTCTTTCTCCCTTAAGTTGCTTTTGTTAGGGTATGTTATCATAGTAACACAAAAAAACCAAGGCCCCAAGCAACTTTAAAATCCAGCTAGGCACACTGGAATAGATCTCTGCCCGAGCCAAAGTTATATAGTTCTCAGCAGCACCCTTTCAGGCCTGCACTCTGTCCATGCAGTCAGTCATCTTTCCTTTTCCATCAAGTGCAACTAGCATGTACTCAAGGCTGAGTAGTTCTACAGCCTGCTTCCTACATGTATAATTCTGAGGTGCTGAAAGCTTCTTTTACTTTGTTGTCTCTGCATCCCTTGAAGTCTAAAACAGTGGTGTTTCTGCTGGCATAATATACCCGAGCACCCTGTGGGTCTACCATATAAGTGCAGAGACTCACTGCATTTAGATAAGAGGCTCAAACACAGATGCTGCCTTAATAATCTCATCTCTATTTTCAGCTTCTGCCTAACTGCTAAGGGAATCCTGAGTCTTACCCTTGACTTCTTTAGTGTTCTGAATGAATATCCTCATCTTTTGATCTGATGTGCCAGCAGTGATGCACACTTTCCTGGTAGTGATTCTCTGGATCTTAGTACCTTGGACAGATTGAGAATTGAAAAAAAAAAAAAATCAAGTACTAACTTTTTCTTGTTTTGTTGTTGTGTTTGTGAGTTTTTTGTTAGTTTGGTTTGTTTGTTTAAGACAGGACTTCATGTAGTAAAGACTGACCTCAAACTTGCTATGTATCCAAGGATGCCTTGAATTCTTGATCCTTCTGCCTCTACCTACCACGTACTAATGAAAGAGAGCCTAGCTTGTTTTCTTTTCTTTTTCAATTTTATTATTTTTATTTGTATGCGTGTATTGCCTGCATCTAGGTAAGTGCACCCGAGTCATACAATGCCCACAAAGGTCAGAAGAGGCTGTCAGATCCCCTGGGACTGGAGTTATGGACAGCTGTTAGCTACCATGTGGGTGCTGGGATTTGAACCCGGGACTTCTGCAAGAACAACCAGTGTTCTTAACTGCTGAGCCATCTCTCCAGCCTGTTTTCTTTTTTTAATATGTCTCCCTTCAATTTATCTACTTTCAAATTTTACTAAACATATGAACAGAATCCAGAGCACATTTTCAATACTTTGCTTGGAAATCTCCTCAGTAAACATCCAAGGTCATTTATTATAAGTCATAATCACAGGACATCCTTTTGATAAGTTTTCTGCCACTATAATAGAAAGGATCCTCTTTCCTCCAATTTCCAACATCTTCATTTTCCTTTCATCACTCACTATCAGCACCTTTCATGTCCAAGTTTCCGCCAACAGTCTATTTACAATTTAGATACTCTCTAAAGTGAGTTTTTTCTATCCTGCTCCTTTAACTTCTGAGTCTGTATGGTGGATAACATCCTTATTTTTAAGATTTTTCTAACATGCTCCTCCAAGTTCCAAAGCTCCTTGCACATTTTTAGGTATGTGTTACAGCAGCATTCCAAGTCAAGTATCAAAATCTGTATTGCTCTTCTGCTGGTGCTATACGAAAGTTACCACAAATTCTGAGGCTTCAAGGTAACACTCTTTATTTTATGTTTCAGTTAGCTTATAGTTAGTAACTTGGGTATCCAAAGCAGCTCTCACTGGGATAAAAGCAAGGTGTGAGGAGGCCTGTATTATCGAAGCCACAAGGACTTCTATGGCTTTGAGTATGATCTCTGAAGGTTCATGTGCTGGAAGTTTAGTGCCAGTGTGCTGATGTGGAGATAGTGTAAGTAGTAACAGGTAGGACCCTCTAGAAAATAGTTAGGACACTGGAGGCACTGCCCATAATGTTCTCTGAGGACATGGTTAGTCCTGCAAGATCAAATTATTAAAAAATGGAGATACTGGCTCTCTGCACCTCTCTGGCTTCTGGTCTTACTACCTGATCTCTTTTGCAAACACCCCTACCACTGTGATGCTTTTACCCATGAAGTCCTTAGATGAAGCTATCCAATTGTTATGGTTTGAATGTGAAATGTCCTCCATAGGTTCACATGTTAGAACAATTGGTCCCTAGATGGTGGTGTTGTTTGGGAAGGTTGTGGAACTGTGAAGACTTGCCAGAGGAAAGGGGCCACTGTAGATGGGACTTAAGGCCTTATAGCCCTGCTCCACTTTCTATTTATTCTCAGTTTTCAGAACATGGATGCAACGTAATCTGCCAGCCTGCTGCTCTTGTCACCATGCCCTCCCTGCTTGCTGTCACATCTTCTCCACCAAGATGGGATCTATCCCTCCAGAGCTGGAAGCCAAAATGAACCCCTTTCTCCCTTAAGTCGCTCTTGTCATAGTATTTTATCACAGCAACAGAAAAAGAAACTAAGACACCAATCTTGAACTTTTAACTGCAAATGAACTAAAAAAACATCTCCTGTATTTTTAAAGAACCCAGCTCCAGTCATTGCCTTAGCACCAGAAAGTAGCCTAATATAGGATGAATCCATTTCCTTGATTATCCCAACTTCTAGAGGTCACCTGTGCTCCTTGATTCATGGCCCCCTTCCTTGATCTTCAAATCTTGTAACATTCCACCTCTCTGACCTTGCTTGTATCTCACCTCTTTACTAACACCCTTCTTCTGCCTCCCACCTCCATTCTGAACAATGTATTTTTATTACGTATGTGTCTATGAGACTAAATGCCACATGTGTGGGGGTGCCATGGAGGCCAGAAGAGGGTGTCAGATCCCTTACAGCTGGAGCTGTGAATCACCCAACATGAGTGCTGGGAACCAAATTAAGGTCCTCTGGAAAAGCAGCAAGCACTCTTACACTGAGCCATCTCTCCAGGCCCCTATTTCCATTTGAAGGCCCCTTATCCTTTTAAAGGGCCACATGACTAATCCAGAATAATTCTACCTGCTTTAATTGCCCTTTGCCATGGAATACAACATACAGGTCCTAGGAACTAAGACATAGACATCTTTTACGGGACCATTATCCTGCCTACCTTACCTACTAATTATTTAAATGAACTACAAGTAAGCTGTAACTCAAAATATCCTAATAAGGCTCATCAGGAAGTATTAACAACAGAAAGAAACAAAACATAGCCAATTTACTTTTAATTTTTCTAATATTTAGAGAATCTAACAATATAACTGAAGGTTTTTTGTTTCTTGTTTGTGGCATACAACAGTAATTTTCAATCCCCTCTCCCTTGCCTGCCCCTAATACTTGGGCTATAAAATCTAAATACTCACTTTCCTGGCCTCCTAAGGATAGTCATATAAAATAAACATGCCAAATGAAATCTAAAAATTGTCTTGGGAAAAGCCATTGCATTCGATAAAGGAGGCAGATGGTGCTGGCCCTCCTTTGGCCCCCTTCCCAGTAATTCTCCCGCCTTGAATGTGGTACACTGCCAGTAATTCAAGCATCTATTTTGCAATAATGGAGCATGTCCAAAAGAATTGAAGAGATACTAGTCCTGCCACTGTTGAATGGCTGAGCCAATACCAGCTAGTCTATGCCTCCAGACTTATGGTTATATGAGAATAAATAAATTCTCATCTTGTTTAAGTTATTGTTTACATCTGTTTTTCTGTTATTTTCAGCTGAAAGCTTTCCTAATTGAAATTATATTCAACATAACTGCTGGCTAAACATAAGCATCATCCTTCAAAAATGTATTTTGTTGTATGAAAACTATATTCAGTTAAAATGAATTATAATTCATCATTCAAAAGGTAACTATTTTTAAAGTACCATTTATTATGTACTTTACAACTACAAATTACAGTCATTTAAAAATATTTTTAAATAATCAAAAGTTTTAATAAAATATTAGCCACAACTTCAAACAGAGATAAACTACTGGTAATATAGTAATGTATTCACTCTCACATTTTTATTTCATTCACAAAATATTTTTTAAAGTGAGACTATACAGAAAATACCTATTGAATCCACCTCCTACTTAGCATTAAATTTACTAAAGATTTTTCCATATCATTAAAGACGTTCCAAAACTAGAATACTAATAGGATTACAACATGATTAATTAAATAATTTTATCAGTGACAGATGTGCACTGGCTTGTCTTTTCTGCTGGTATAAACAGTACTGGAGCAAACACCACTTTATATGAGACACTATATGCATGATCATTTTCTGAGGACAGGTCCACAGATGTGATATTACTGAGGATAAACTTTTTCAGTCATAAAAGCTATCAAAGAGCTTTCTAGGAAAATGGAGTCAATTTTCTATTTCATGTCTGTGCACAAGAGTATCAGTTTCCCTTTTGAGAATTTAATGCTATTTCTTTGCTTTTTTGCTAATAAGATGAGTAAAAATATTCTACCTTATTATTTTTATTGAGCTTTTAAAATTTCATACAATATTTCCCACTCACATCCAGACTCCCTCCCCCACCTATCCCTCTCCCCTCCCTTAAAATTTTAATTTATGGGTTTTTTGTTGTTGTTGTTGTTACTAGTGACAGTAACTGTCCAAAGATTTAGATCCTTTATTGTAGTTATTTTGTGAATTATCCTTTAGCATTGTTTTAAGGAAAAGAGTTCTTAACATGTAAGATGCTAATCTTCTGATGTTATTTATTGTAAATATTGATATTTTATTTTAAAAATAATCAAACCTATTAGCATTATCCTTTGTAACCTCTTTATCGGATAGAGATGGTTTTCACATGATGACGAATAATCTAAGATATGATATTCTTGCAAATTCTTACTGGCAGTCAAAAAGTAATATCAAAACAATAGAACAGCAAATCCTCCATAAATATATAATTATCTTAATCTTAGGTTTTTACCATCCACATACCTGCTTGTGACAATTATCACATCCTCAGAAATGGTAGCCATTTCTTTGATGGTCAGGTAGCACATTCTCCTCAGTGTTTGCTGAAAAAGTTTTTATAAATGGTAACAGGTTATTCATAAGGATAGCTGTTATTTGAAGTAAAGATAGCAAGTACATCTATTAAGAGCAATATTCTTGGGCCAGTGAGATGATGGGTCAGGAGTAAAGGAACTTTTATCACATCCTCAGAAATGGTAGCCATTTCTTTGATGGTCAGGTAGCACATTCTCCTCAGTGTTTGCTGAAAAAGTTTTTATAAATGGTAACAGGTTATTCATAAGGATAGCTGTTATTTGAAGTAAAGATAGCAAGTACATCTATTAAGAGCAATATTCTTGGGCCAGTGAGATGATGGGTCAGGAGTAAAGGAACTTTCCACCAAGCCAAAAAAAAAAAAATCTTTAAAAAAATGATCTGAATAAAAAACATCCAAACTATTATTTTATTAATTTTTTATTAATTTTATTAGTTTTGTATTAAATTTACTAAATTTTTAAAATTTATTTTTATTTTATGCATATAAGTGTTTTGCCTGCATGTATAAGTGCATCCATGTTGTGCAGTAAGTGCAGAGTCCAGAAGAGAGCATCAGATTCCCCTGGACTGGAGTTATAGACAGCTGTTAGTCACCATGTGGGTGCTGGGAATCAAACCCAGATCTTCAAGAAGAGCAGTATGTGCTCTTAGCCATTGAGTTATCTCTCCAAGCCCAACATTTCTGAAACACAAATATTTGTACAGATATCCTGGAAAATATATAATCAAAAACTTAAAAATTCAATTAGTCTTCTACAGGCAAGGTCAGACACATTCAGGGTGGTATGGCTGTAGGCATGGTCTTCTCCAGAGTTATAACTGATAAAGATATGTCCTGGAAAATGCATTCTTAAAATTCTTAAGAAATGTATACGTAGAGATATTTTTCTGAGTTCAGTGCATACCAACATTTCTCCTGAACCCTAAGTGACTAGCGACTGGATAATTAATTTCCATTTTCAATTATAAAAATTTCCAGACAGATACCTAGCGCCAAAGTGAGAAGCTAACAATAACAAAACTTCCACTTCTCCCTCATCTGGATCTCTCTTTATTCACAGACCTCTAGTCTGTCCAACCTAACTTCCAAGTAACTTCAAATGTCTGGCAAGTGCAGAAGCTCAAATACATCAGACCCAGCTCCAGAGTCTATTCTTTAGAGAGAATCTGGTTTACGGATATCGAGCCCAATAAGGAAAGAGAAGAAAGTGGAAATTCTTAGTATGATTTAACAACAACAACACAGATTAAAGTCACCCAAACATAAATCTGTGATGGAAAACATGGATCAAAATTTCAGAACTAAAAAAATTCTACTCCACAATAAAAGACATAATTCTGAAAATAAGAAAAGCAGATATGTTAAAAAAAAATTAGACAAAACAAGAGAATTGCTGCTCAACATTGTCATAAGAAAAATGGAAATTAGACTCAGACACTACTTCACACCAACAGAATGGCAAAAATTCAAAAGACTAACAATACAAAGTGTTGGCAAAGACATGCTTTTAGTCAGCAAAACATACTATGTAAATAAATACATGCAAAAGTTAAATAAAATATGAGAAAAATGTTTATTTTTAAGAAAATAACATTTCACAGAATTAGGGCAATTTTTTGCAAGTCATGCACCTGATTATATGAAGAACTCTTACAACTCAATGATAAAAAACACAAAATACAAATAGTTCAATTTTTTTAAATGAGCAAAGGATTTGAATAGATATTCCTTCAAAAACATGTATGAGTGGCAAATAATCACATTTTAAAAAGTATCAAAATTTTAACTATGTAGCCAGGGACAAAATATAGAGAGATTTACAGATACTGGAAATAAAAATAAACACACACAGCCATGTGTGGCATGGGATGTAGTAGATAAAGAATTAGGTTCTAAAAAGTATATTCTTCAGGGGCAAGGAAAATTATTCCAAAGAGTAATTCTGAGATACAGCAAAGAAAAAGGAGGTAAGAAATTTAAAAAAAGGCAGTAAAACACATCAGCAAATCTGAACAAACAAAAGAAAAAAAGCGTAAGATGTATTTTAAAAATTAAGTATTGACATATGTAAATGTGTATGTTTATATAGTCATATATATGATTAAAAGTGTCTAAGATGCTGAAATTTCCTACAAGCAAGGAAAAGATAAAGATGACTATTAGACTTTATATATCCATGAAGCCACTTTTAGGGAAACAACCCAAAACTTTCAATCCATTGTCCTACATGCCACTGATATTCTTCATTTTTGTCTTTTTTTCTCTCTTTTAGACAGTTTCGTCTTCAAGCACATTGACTTTTTTTCCTTTTATTTTGAATCTGCTATTAATACCATGCAGGGTATTTTCCTTTTAATATGCGGTTGGGGGGGAGGGTTATGCATGTGTGTGTATTGGGGGGGTATACAAGCCCCTAAATCCACACACAGAGGCCAGAGGTCAACACTGGATTTCGTCCTCTATCACTCTCCACCTTATTATTCGAGACAGGGATTGCTCACTGAACCTGGAGCTCACTATTTCAACTAGACTGGCTGACTAGCAAGCTCTAGGGATCCACCTGTCTCAGCTCCCCTTGTGGTGGGGTTTCAAAAGGGTGCTACCGTACCCACCCAGCTTTTACACAAGTACTGGAGATCAAAACTCATTGTCTACATGTTGTGGTGGTTTGAATGAGAAATGTCCATGTATTTGAACACTTGGTCCCCAGTTGGTGGCGCTGTCTGGGCAGAGTTATGGAAGCTTTAGGAATTGTGGCCATGACGGAGGAAGCATGTCACTGAGGAGCAGTTTTAAGAGCATACAGTCTTGCCCATTTCCAGTTTCTCTCTCAGGCTGTCCTGGAACTCAAATATCTGCCTGTCTCTGCATCCCAAATGCTGGGATTAAAGGCATGCAGCACCACACCCAGCTAATAATAGCTGTTTTTAGTATCGCTGCTCATCATCTTTATCATTTCTAGGTTTGTATCTGGTGATCTACTTTCATCCAGTTTAGGGATACTAATTGCCTCTGTTTCTTTGCATGTCCTTTCTCTTTTTTTAATAGTTTGGTTCTTGTCTGGTTCCTAGTAGACAACCTCTATGCCCTTGAAACATTCTTTTTATGTTTTTTGTTTGAGGATTGTCATTTTTGGTTTTTTGGTACATCATGAAATTTATATTGTTAAGTGCTAGATTGTGTTATATTCTTTTTATATACGATTATACTCTATTCTATCATGGAGTTAGGCTACCTGAGATCTGGTTTTTTGTTTAATTGGTTGGCCGAGTTCTTTTTGAGGCTTGTTCAAGTCTTTGACAGCTATAGTCTAAGGTGATGCCTTCTGAGAACTACACTAGGTCTTTCATGCTCACTTGTGAGAACAGAACTATTCTGTCTTGTGTTCCAATTGTTCCTTAGCCTTTCATACATACAGACCAGCTCTTAACTAGACTCAGGTGATAGTCTTCAGCTGGTTCTCTCTCCCCCCCTCCCTTCCCTCCTTTCTCTCTGGTATCCTGCCCTGCAAATTCAAACTCTCTTAGCTTTCCCAATTCCATCTGTTTTCTCAACTCAAAACAGGCTCCTTACCCATCTGCCTCTAATCTGCCTCTAATCTGCCTCTGGGCAGTTAACTGGTGCAATCCCAGGGCTCATCTTGTTTGCTTCCCTTCTTAGATGCCTGTTATCTAATGTCTGAAAAGTGCTGCTTCCAACATTTTGTTTGATTTTCTAGTATATATGATAGTAGGGTAAATCCAGTCCCTACACAGCTGGATATAGAACAGAAATGTGGTTCTTAAATCAAAACACAGAGTAAAGAGTAAAAAGTATCCTTTTAATCTTTTCCTACCCCTTTTCTTCCTCCTCCCTTTCCCCTTTATTCTTTCTTTACTAATTTCCAACACTACTGCATTGTACTTTAAAGAATATAGTCTTGGGGCTGGAGAGATGGCTCAGCAGTTAAGAACACTGACTGTTCTTGCAGAAGACCCGGGTTCAAATCCCAGCACCCACATGGTGGCCAACAACTGTCCATAACTCCAGTTCTAGGGGATCCGACAGCCTCTTCTGTCCTCTGTGGGCATTGCATGACACAGGTGTACTTACCTAAATGTAGGCATAACACTTATACACACAAAATAAAATAAAATAAAATAAAGAATATAGTCTTACTTGTCTCTTTTTAGATCCATTCACAGTTAATTTCTGTAAATGCTCTGTTCTTCGTTTGTATATAATGTAGATAAATCCATGTCTACCACCTACTGGCCCCCATAGGTCTCACAGTGTGACCCAGGCTAGACTTGAACTCACTAGGTAGCTGAGGATGGCTTTGAACTTTTGGTCCTCCTGCCTCAACCTCCTGAGTGCTGGGATTATAGCTGTGCACCATTATGCTTGGTTTATTCAGTGCTGGGGATTGAACTCAAGGCTTTGTGCATATTAGTCAAGCATTCTACCAAATGAGCAATAGCCTCAGCCCTTAGTTTGATTTTTTTTGTAAACATTTTATTTTCCCCAATTATTTAAAAAGAAAAAAATTAATAGGAAAAATCAATGAAACAAAAAGCTGGCTTTGTGAAAATACTGATAAGGCATAAACCTCCAGACAAAATTTCTAAGGAATAAGAGAGGATATAATTTACTGATATCAAAATGATAGAAGATAGACCATTACAGATTCCAAAGACATTATAAGAAAAAAGGATCATGAACAATTCCCTTCTTCTACAAACTCTAAACCCTTCTACCATGCTCTTTAGCATTTCATCAAAAAAATGTTATCTTCAAACTCCTCTCTACATGCTCCCATCTTTTTATCTAGTTGAAATGTTTTGTTCCCTAAGGAGTATCCTGCAGCTTTCTTGAAATGGCGGCTGTTTTCTTTCCAGTGGCATTCACACCAGGCCTACTACAGATGCTCAAGATGCTCCTCCTCGCTGCCTTTCTATTATGATAAGATATTTTTTTTTTTTTTTTTTTTTTGGTCTTTTTGAGACAGTGTTTCCCTGTAGTCCCAGCTGTCCTGGAACTCACTATGTAGACCAGGCTGGCCTTGAACTCACAGAGATCCACCTGCCTCTGCCTCCCAAGTGCTGGGATTAAAGGCGTGCGCCACCATGCCCAGCTGGAACCACGTTCTTTTAATGCACCTCTTTCTTCCCTAAAAAATTCTGGCTTTAAAGGTTATGTATTACTTGCCACCATTCCTGGCTACTTATGTAGACCTTAGGTCATTTCTCTTTAAAAAATAGTGCTTTGCTTACTGTCACTCTCTCCAACATTATTCAGTAATAGGTAATAGTGATCTTGTGATCCAGATGGACTGTATCTCTAGAACTCTGCTCCATTCTTTGACCTCCTCTTTTCTAACAATCCTGTCCTTCCTCCTATGATGGTTACTCACTTTCCAATGTCACAGCCGCTATCAGTAACAGCCACTACTCCTGGCTCACTTATAGTCCATCAATCCTATTACCATTTGCTGACCTCATCTGGCCTACCACTAGGTACTTGACTGCAAAATCAGAGCCACATATAGACAACAGCCTTCCATAACCTTTACAACAGCAACTCTTTGAGCCCTGCTCCTACAGCTTGAAATGCCTGGCTTTCTAATCTACTTCCTCTAGGAAATTCCTAATCCCATAATACTCATAGTGGATCTGCTTCCCTGATTGGACCCTGAGCTGAAACAAGTCCTGAAGGCTAGGAACCTGAAATTATGTCTCTGATTGGACTAAAAATATTAATGATCCTGTTTCCAAGGGTGAAGGAGACATAAACAGTCCACAGTATAAAGTAGTAAAATACTCAAATTTTCACTAGCAAAAGACTGTAGAAGATAAAGCTTTGGGTAAAGTAGGCAGTTGCTGCCAAGGAAGAGTTTAGTAAAAATAAGTTAAAACTTAAGATGTTGCTGGGTATGGTGGTGAACACCTTTAATCCCAGCACTCAGGAGGCAGAGGCAGGCAAATCTCTGTTAGACTGAGGTCAACCTGGTCTACATAGATAGTTCCAGTTCCTAGCTAGCTGGGGCTACAGGGAGACCCCGTCTTAAAACAAACAAACAACAACAACAAAAAAAACCATAAGATGTTAAAAGTAACTTGCTTAGGAGGCCAGCAAGATGACTCAGCAGGTAAAGGCATTTGCCACCAAGACTAACAACTTGAGTTCAATCTCCAGGACCTACATGGTGATGGAGAGAACTGGCTCCTGCAATTTTCTTCTGACACCCACATAGGTTTTGTTGCATGCATGCACATGCACATACACATTCTCTCTCTCTCTCTCTCTCTCTCTCTCTCTCTCTCTCTCTCTCTCACACACACACACACACACAAATACAAAAATAAACAAAAATTTAAAACATAAAATAGCTTGCTTAATGGATTAATTAGCTGCCTCTAGGTATACTTGAGAATTCTCTTCTTGAGGAAAAAGAAATGATGAGTTTAGAGATTTAAATGTACAGCTCGAGGTTCTGGAAGGGACCAGAAGTCTTCTCTATCTGCATTATATTGGAAAGCCGTATGGGCACAGAGATGGGAAAGCATATCCTGCAGGTAGTTGAATTACAAAGTAAATTCAAGTCAAACCCTTGCAGAGCATCTTATATTGTGATTAAGACTTCATTGTCAAGGACGAGAACCTGAAAATTGAAATGGGAAGAAATGGGCAGATTGTGATGAAGGTGCCTGATGCCCCTAAATTCTGCCAAGCATCCTTTGCCAATATAGGTAATCTCTGATCCCATGTCTGAGATTAGGCTCCCCTTGCCTGAAGCATATATAAAGACCTCCTTTATTACAGCTGCCTTAGAGGGGTACTGATCTTCCTGAAGAATTATTCCTAAAGTCTTTCATCATCTAGACATATGGCCAGACTCAGACTCAAAGCCTAGGAGGTCCTGGGAGTTGCAGTCACAAAATTTAACCTGTGCTGAGATACGATTATGCACGAAAAAAATTCCAAGATTTGGCCAATACACGTTAAATGCCAATAGGAAGCTGAGGTAAATGCATCCCAGAATTCTATTCTCCGTATGTTTCTCTATTAAAGCTGAGCATAAAGAAATGTACCACATTTAGAAAAGAGAAGAAAAGCAGCAACAATTAAAAGTTGAGGTGACCTAAGGTGATGACAGACTTACTTTGTATTCTTTTTCCTTCCACGTCATGATCCCTACTCCACATCTAGCTCTTCTAAACTGTCACCCAACAACAACCCCAAGCTCACTAGAAACTTGCATAAGATGTGTGCAGTGACTTTTATACCCGTCTACCTTTGCAGTGTCAGACCAGATACTAGGTATTAACCTTTTTTTTTTTTCCAATGACTTCACCTAAGATATGTGAAAGAACAATTTATACTATATACTTTAATTTGTTCATGTTCACATATTGTTTAAAAAGTATTCTTAAGTTTTATAAACAGTGTTAAAGTAATTTTAAACATTTCAAACAACCCTCTCTCATTTAGAACATTCTAAGTTCTCTAGGGAAAATAAATAAGCTTTTTCATCATAAAATAAGAGACTTACATCATTAGATTGAAACAATCGAGTCATTGCGAAGAAGGCTTCTGTAGCTTCCATAGTTCCAAAGTGTTCACCCTAAGTACAATTTAAAACAATTTTTTAACTAAAAAATGTACATGTTAAGGACTTTCTATTTCTGCAAAGAATAAAATCTTTTAGAATTAAGGAGAAGTCTCTAAAAAAATTCTGCCTCAATTAAAAAAATCTCAGGAGTATTAAAAAAAAAAAAAACTCTCAGAGCCACTTAGCAACTCCTTATTTAAAATAATTCAAAACAACACACCACTCTTAAAAGTTCTAGAATATAGTAGTCTCTAACTTTTTAACAGAAACTGTTTCTATTTCCCTGGAGGATTTCCAAGGAAGCAGAATAAGACTTCAAACAGAGTTTCTAATCAGAACAGGATGGTGAGATCACCCACCTAAAAGCAGAGGCTATACTTCTTACATTGCTGTAACTCAATGCTTAGCACATCCAACCAGAAGTGAAGGTTCTAGATTCACATTGTTAACAATGCTTCAGGTGCTGCTATAGCTCCCAAGACGCTGACCCAAACCCTTAGAAGTAAGACTTGGATCTCATAGCTTTTAGTATAGATAACAGATTATTTGGGTATCTTTCCAAAATATAGTCCACTTCCATAAAATCCTGGGCAAGACTGAGATTTTGCATTTCCTCTAAGCTCCCAGTTATGCCAAAGCCGCTGATCTGTGAATCATACTTTAGGAGTCTCAAGGTGTTAGAAAACTTATTTCTCTAATATTCAAAACATTTTGGACCACAGACTGACTCAATTATCACCATTTCAACACTTAATTTCTTCATCAAAAGCAATTCTATATAGTATATTGGGCTTAATTTCTCTTCAGAGTTCAGATTTTACATAAAATACAACTAGTCTTCAATCCATCTGTCATGTGTGTAAGAATATATTTTAATTTAGAAATGTTGACATTTAGTATAGCAAGAGTTTACAACTATTTAAATCAAAGCATTCACCTTGCTTATCAGCAAAGGAGAATATTTCTTACTGTGATAATTAACAAAACCTAGAATCCTGTGTACTTCTCTTTAGCCATATTGGAAAAATCTCAAGTTACTACTTTGGACCTGCAACGCACAGAATATATGGCTCTGACAACTCTAGTATAAATTTTAAAGTATTTTTTTTCCTCATAAAGCTCTACCAAGAAGTAGGTATAGAGATAAAATAAATGTTCCTAAACATGTTTATGTAACCATGTTTATGCTATGCTTAATATATTTCCTTATCAAGATTGAATGTCTCAACATGAATTGCTCCATGAAAGAGGTATTGGCCAACAAAAAATATATACCTCTTTGAATCAACTCTGACAACTAGAAACAATATAATATGTGCTAAGCAAAGTTAAGTCAAACCAACTTTGGCTTAAATGTCTCTAATATGCTGCCAACAGTGGTGTTATGCTGTTTATGAGCAGACATATTTTATTTAAAATTATATGCTTATTTCTCAGTCTCCATTTGCAAACAACAAAATTTTGATAAATCTCTGGATGAGGTCTTTAATTACAAAATAGCAAAAATAAAATGTTCTCTTAGGGGCCTGCAAGATAGCTCATCAGGTAAAGGCATGTGACACCAAACATAATTACCTGAGTTCAATCCCTGGGATGTACATGGTAAGAGGAGGGAACTGACCTCCACATGCAGCACTGCCCCCCCATCACAAAATAAATAAATATAAAAGAAAATGTAATGTTTTTTAAGTTGGTAATATAGTCTACTTAGCATTATATAGAAACAACTGAGATATATGGGGCATACAGATATGTGTATATATACAGAGATATATATTATCTACAAAATAAAATTGTGTTTTCTAAGGTCCTGTATGGTTGTGAGACTGTTTTTACAGTCAGAGGTAAGAAAATTAAAAAAATACCAAAACATAGATTTTTGTTGTTGTTGTTTTGTTGGCTACATTCCCAGTGCCTAAAATACTAAACGAAGACACTGCAGGTAGACAATAAGATTTGCTGAGTTGCAAATAAAAAGTATTTCTGAACGTAAACTATGAATGAAGCACTATTAAAATTGTTTCTATTTACTATTTCACTTAACTATTACAATGCTAAAAAGCAGGTATTATAATCTTCATTTACAGAAAAGGAAACTAAGGAATATAATGGTTAAATTACTTGGCCAGAACCAGGTCACCAGTACTGACTAATAAGGATAATAACATAAAACCTACACATTAAGATCAAAACTTTAATACATCACTATTATGCCAAATAAGTAACTAAGATACCTGAAATTTGTCTGACTTGCAACTGTATTTTCAAAGGACCTCAAAAATCACGTAAACAATATGTTCTAAGTAGTACTTGTTAAATCCAAATCAGTATATCTCCTGAGAGTCTACTACATATTTAGTGCAGGAATTTAAGAATATATGTTATAGTCTTTGGGCTCAAAAACTCTTCTTTATTATTCTAATCCAACACTGTGGATTTTTTAATTATGTGAATTTTTAAAAATAATTCTACTTTTCACAAAGTATTTCACTATGGGTTATATATTTCTACTATAGTATACAAATCTAAGGACGATCAGGATAATTTACCTGGTTCAGTAAGTAAAGAATCTTTGTAAGAATATGTAAGCATCTTCTTGGGTTGATAGGAGTTTCATTGAATATACGAGCCTACAGAAATACACAAAACATTGTTATATATCGTCCCCCTTTTCTATCACAGATTTCAGCAAATTCACTGGAATAACATTAGCACTATTTTAAAATACAATGTCCAAGTAATTTTAGTTGCCTACAGCTCTCAATTTATGAGAGTTTATAATAAATCATTGGATGTGGCCTTGATTTTCCAGTCTATACCTTCTTATTGCCTTAGGTTGACTACTACAACTTTAAAGTCATTACCAGAACCTTGTCTACATTGTATGAACTTGTAGCTCTTCGGTAACCTTGCACTCAACACTACCTCTTCTGATGTCTTATTAAAATCCCCAACCTTGGCAGAGTCTGCATGTCGCTCTGCATTTCTGTAAGCGCTAGATTCTCCTTCTCCCTCAAGTCTATATCCTCTGCACTGTTGAATTCCTTAATTGCCTTTTATATATAAATGGAAAATGACTTATTTATAGTTTCGGTCAAAAGTGGGGACAGTCATCTTTAGTCTGTCAGTCCTGTCTAAATTCCTTAGTTTCTTATTTTGGATGTCCTGGGCTTAGTATCAGGGATGTTAGAGGTTCTTTGCCCACTGTTCTAAAACAGAACCGATAAGACAAAACACAGTATACTTCCAAGCCATACCTCCTGTAGGACAGCACTCTTCTCCAAATGCTGGAAAGGATTGGAACCACTCCCTATAGCATAAAAACAAAGAACGTCTTCAGTTGCTGTCCTATAGAGACTTATCTTCTAGAGAAGGATATTGCATGCTTGGGGAATCTCGCCTAAGCGGGTGATCACTTAGATGTCACAAGGACAATAGTTACTAATATGCAAATAAGCTGAATGAAATCATTCTGGTTCTGCTACAAGTTCTGTCATTGCCGTACTGAGAGCTTGGCCATCACTGTATATACGAACCCTGTCCAAGATGAGTGCCTCTATCCCTGCTTCCCCCTCCCCCGCCATGAATGTTACAAATGTGTCGTTTCCACCACCACCAAGATTAATGAGATGACAGGACACTATGATTTCCCTACAAGCAAGCCCTACTGTATGTGTTTCACACATTTACTGAAGCAGAAAGGAACAGTTTCGCAGAGAATCACAAATGTAAAGAGGCCATGCAGGATGAGGCCATGAAGGTCCACTAACCCAACCTTCCACCACACTTGTGAGAGCAGCTACCACTGAAGAGCTGAAGATTTTTTTTTTTTTTTTTGAAGAGGCTTGGCATCTTCCCCACTTGCTCGGCACCACAGACAGGTATCAACACGCAAGTCACTTCTGGATGCCTGAGCTTTCAATGAGCCCACCGGGCAGTCTTAACCCCTGGGAACAGGAGAATCAAGGCCCCTCAGAGTCCATTCACACGCAACCCTGGCCCGGTCGACCCCAGCCCTGCACACAGAAGTGCTCTCCCTGGGGCCTCACCCACCAGCACCCCAGAAAGCAGGGACATGCGCGCGCACTCCTCCGCCCCCCTACCGGGCTCGGCCGAGGGGCGGCTCCGAGGGGCTCGGCCAGGGGGCGGGGGCGGGGGCGGGGGCGGGGCCACAGGCTGCGGCGAGGAGGGGCGGAGCCGCCGAGTAGCCCGCGGCGACGCCCGCGCCGGGAGCCCGTGTGAAGGCCCCGGCCGGGGGAGGGGCTACGACCAGACCCCGCCGAGGCGGACGGCCCCCTCGGCGTCCACGCCCCCAGTCCCGCTGTCCCCGAAAGCAGGTGGCTGCGGGCGAGGGAAAAGGGGGACCGCTGCGCCTGACGGTGGGCGTCCGAAGCCCCCCGCGTACCAGACTCCTCGTCCTTCTTGTCGAATTTTTTAATCATCTTGGACGGCTTCCCAGCACCTAGACCCTCCGCCACCGTCCCGGGCGCCGCTGCCGGCAAGCGGAAGACGCGGCAGGAAGGCCGGCCCCGTCCTCTCACTCCGGTTGGGCCGCCGGGCTGTCACTCGGGGCCAAGGCCCGCCCCCCTCGGGCCGTCGCGGCTGCCCTCGCCCTCTGGGGACGCAGGCCCGTCCTTTGCCCCGCCCACCGCCGCACGGGGGTGAGACCAGACGCTGCCCCGCGGCTCTCCCCGCCCACCCTGCCGGGCCTCTGCAGCCCTGGTCTGCTGCAGCGACGTCGTGACTTTATTTGGTTGGTGACTTCTACAAGCCCCTCGGGACTTGGAGGGCGAGGAGGGGGACTTAAAGGACTTGTCTTCACTTAATGACAGCAGCATTTTTGATAACCCAGTTCTGGGCCCTTCCGTGGCGGAAGGCGTTTTCCCCTGGTACGGTTTTGATGGGCTTCTCTTCCAGGAGCTTTGAAAATGACAGGGGTTCCCAAGTCGCCTGAGAAGTTGGTTTCTCGCTCTCTGACCTCTTGGAAACTACGATAAAGCACAGGACACATTGATTGTGCGTCTCTGAAAGTCCTAGAAGGGTAGTTAAAGGAAAGCGTGAAACGGTCCATTTGGAGGGTCTATACTCTCAGCAACAGGGTAGAAGATTTTTGGACTGCCATCCCTGACCTTGTATGATTCTGGATCTGTCCCTCCACCAAAAGCCTCTGCCCGTTTAGTCTTCCTCGCTTAGTCCCATCCTTTTCAAATGATTCAGTCTGCAGCCATATTGATTGACACTATTAGCTCCATCCTTTTCAAACGATTCAATCTACAGTCATACTGATTGACACTAAAGTAACAAGGAACACATTCTCGTGCCTCAATAATTTCTCAAAATACTTATGGTTTTCTTCCTTGTCTGAAACGAACAAACTTTATCTACCTTTGATTTCGGTGGCATTGCATTCATCCACATCCTCTTTCAAGCTTTGCCCATTCTTAGGGAATTTTCCATTGTAGGATCTTAACTACTGTCCCCGGTTCAGGTCATGTTTTGCCTCTTGGGCAGCCGCCTAACCAGCCCTTCACAACTTCTACACAGACCATTCATGGTATAGTTGTATTTTATTTGGATATCTGGTAAACATAGGACATCATTGGGGGAACAGAGATATTAGCTGTCTTTTTTGCTTGGAAGTGGAAACCACTAGTCACTTCCTCACTGATTTGTCTTGCTAAGGAAATGTATCATGATCTACTCTTTAGGTACAAAATAAACTATAAATAGCCACTCATTTTCTGTGAGGGGAACTGCAATCACCATAAATTTGTTAGAGGCTGCAGACCGACCTAGTAAATGTTCTCTCAAGGTGTGTAAATCTAACTCATCCTCTTACAGAAAGTGCTCTTGCAAAATCAGGAAAATTCTTTAGGGGGAGGGGGAGGGTGTTTTGTTTGTTTTGTTTTGGACACGGTGCTTGAACTCACTATGTAGACCAGGCTTGCCTCCATCTCATAGAGATCCACCTGCCTCTGACTCCCGAGTATTAGGATTAAAGGCATGTGCCACCACACCAGGCAAAATGAGGGAAATTTTTATCTAGATTAGATTATCCTAGAGAAATTTTTCCCACCATATATGGATTTAAAATAAATAATGTGCTTCATCCTTAAAAATCATATCTCTGGGGCTGGAGAGTTGGCTCAGCAGTTAAGAACACTGACTAGTCTTGCAGAGAACCTAGGTTCAATTCCCAGCACCCACATGGAGGGTATGAACTGTCCTTAACTGCAATGCCAGTTCCAGGGGAATCTGAAGCCCTCTTCTGACCTCCGGGGCACTGCACAACATGGGTGCACTCACATGCAGGCAATGCACTCATACACATAAAATTTAAAAAAAATCATTATCACTTAGGATTTTACTCCAGTTTGACTGAAAATACTATGCTGATGATTACATTTGCTTTCTTTGGCTTATAAAGTTTTTATACTTCCCACATGGGATTTCTCTTGAAAGAAATAGATGTTTGCTCTTGTATATTCTGGAGCTGAAAATAAACACGTTTTGGAGAAATAGGCACCCTCTCCTCTCTTGGGCCAAGATTATTGGGAGTTAGGTAGAGATGGTATCATTATCCAAAAATGAGGAAATGTAAGGGAGGCCTGCTGGGAAGGGTGAAGGTGGGGGGAGGCTGAGGCCTCTTAAAGCAAGATGGAGCACTCTACTGTTCTTCAGCTTTTTTCCACACCCATCAAGCTTTATGCCTCACATAGGTTAGTTTTAGTTGTACCTGGTGAATTAAGAAGAGGCAGTTGGTAGGGCTAGGGTGGACTGAGGTTATAGTTATAGGAGGAACAGAGAAGCCTAAAGGAGCCAGTTAAGGAATGGCCCAATGTGGCTCATACCTCTGGAAAAATAAGTGCCTTATCCTGAAGCCATGACCATTCAGGTATCTGATACTCTGAAAGCCTTCACTGAGGGCAAACTGCATAGTGGAGAAAACCCAAGCCTTTATTTATGTTATATGTAGGACCCTTCTTGGTCTAATCAGTCTGTCTCACATACAGAAATTGCTATCATTGGTGTTTAGTGAATGTCTAACATTTAAGTACCCCATTAGTGTTATCAAACGTCCTTATCCAAACCTCCATCCACCCACTGCTACTCCAATTCCAAAGAGACATGTGGGCCTCTGAAGCAGTTTTCCCCAAAAGTATGATGTGCAAACATCTGGGTGCATTAGGTGGTACACAGATAAACATGTTAAATGATATTTATGTATATGGAAAATTCATGATGTCAACAAATATAGTATTATTTAGGATAAGAATGTTTTAAATCTTCTTAAAGAAAAACGTTGAATGATACATCACTATGGCAAAACTGTGAAAGGTACAGGGCATATTGTCTGGAAAACACAATGCTCATACTTTCTTGAATTTGAGGGTTTAAATAATAGCCTAGCACCATGCAAGCTTTAATGAGTTCTTAACAAGGAAAAATAGTGTTTGGAACCATCAGAAAAGATGCCAATTCATGAGGCTAGAGAGATGGTTCAGTGGTTAAGAACACTGGCTATTTTTGCAGAAGACCTGGGTTCAAATCCCAGCATCCATGTAGCAGCTAACAACTGTCTGTAACCCCAGTTCCGGGGGATCTGATGCCCTCTTCTGTCCTCCACAGGCATTGCAGGACATGGGTGTAGTCACACACATGCAGGCAATACATGCATACACATGAAATAAATATATTTTTTTAAAAAGATGCCAGTTCACCCAACTCTCTAATCCCGGTGGCTTCTCCCTCCAGCCCACATCTCCATCTAGTCAGCTGCAGTGTTGAGAGGGGAGCGCTTACCATCTCTCTTCGCCTCTCTTTGGCAGACTTGATCAAAGGTGAACGTAGGGTACATTTTTTTCTGTTTCCTCAAAGCATAGACTTCAGAATACTTCCCTTCACTCTTGAAGTCATTGTCAGTAGAAAACCTTAACTGAGAAAGTGCATTTGGTTGACTGCTAATGGCACTAGTCACTTAAAAGACAACTACATCGGGCCGGGTGTGGTGGCGCAGGCCTTTAATCCCAGCATTTGGGAGGCAGAGGCAGGCGGATCTCTGTGAGTTCAAGGCCAGCCTGCTCTACATAGTGAGTTCCAGGACAGCTGGGGCTACAGGGAGACCCTGTCTCAAAAAGACAAAAAAAAACAAAACAAAAAACAAAAAAAAAACAACTACATCCTCAGAGATCCTGAGGGAGAAGAAGGAACAAGGACAAGAAGGCTGTTGACTGGTAAAAATGAGACTATTGGTCAGTAGCAAGGGATGTTTCTAGAACTTAGCACTGCAAACCTTTTAGCTACTTTAAGAATCCCTGCTCACTGGGCATGGTGGCGCATGCCTATAATCCCAGCACTCGGGAGGCAGAGGCAGAGGCAGAGGCAGGCGGATCTCTGTGAGTTCAAGGCCAGCCTGGTCTACATAGTAAGTTCCAGGACAGCTGGAGCTACAGGGAGACCCTGCTTCAAAAAGACAAAAAAAAAAAAAAAAAAAAAAAAAGAATCCCTTCTCTTCTCCAAATTACAAATTAGATAATACATACTCCTATAAATAGCTTCAAATAAAAACTCTTTTTATGCTTGCTAAGATTTTGGGGGTGTGTGCATGTTCATGCATGCATGTGTGGAGGCCAGAGACTGATGCTGGGTATTTTTCTTAATTACTTGCCACCTTATTTTTTGAGATAGGATCTATCACTGAACCTGGAGCTTGCTAGAATGTCTGTCCAGCAAGCTCCAGGGATCCTCCCGTCTTCTCCTCCCCAGTGCTGGGGTCACAGGCATGTAGCACCCCACCAGGCTTTTTGACATAGATGCCAGGGATCAAACTTAGGTCCTCCTACTTGCACAACAAACATTTTACCAACTGAGCCATCTCCCAAATAAAACCCCTTTTGTCTCCATGCCTCCAGAGCATTTGATATTAGCTTCCTTAACTTGCACTGAAGGAACTTTGATTTTTCTGTTTCCTCAAAACACAGACCTTAGAATACAGCATTTTCCTCCATGATTGAAATAATTGTCAATGGAAAACTAGTTTTATATTGCTGTGTCTCTTTCACTAGCATGTAAAAGACACTGAAGGATGTGCAGGGAAACTGCTCCTTAGGTATTTAGACATGTTCTTTTTTAAAATTATTTATTTAATAGCCACATAATTAGAAGGAGCATTTCATTACAATGGCATTGATGTATTCAATAACAATTTCCAGAGCTAAGATGCATCTCTTTCAAAATTGGCTATAAATTTTTAGGCTCACAGTTGAATTAATACAGTTATACAATATTGTACTCGGTATAAACCCTATAAGACATAAAATTGAATGAGGTTTTAATCTTTAAAAAAGATCTCCATTTCATTATTAAAATGTACTGCTTCATATAGAAAAACTCATTTTTAATGCAGCTAATGCTTAGATGTTTGCACACGTGTCTCTAATTTCTATGTATCTGATTATTACTAGTCACAGTTACTTTCTGAGCTCCTTGGCATCTGAGCATGGATATAAAGTCATCAGGTAGATTTCAATGATAATGTTTTTCAAATCTATTAATTAACTTGAAGCAAATTTTCTTCCTCAACTATAACTCATTTTTTTTACTTATTGATTTGTGTGTGTGTGTGTGTGTGTGT